TGCTGTCAGACGCATTTCTATCTGGCGTGATGGCAAGTTGGTACCTACAAAACATCTTATCCTCATGTTCAACAAGCCAACATTGCCATCTTCTGTTGCAGCAGGATATCTCTGTTGCCCAGTTCACCCGTACATCCCAAACCCGCTGCGTTGCTTTAAATGCCAGCGGTTTGGACATTCACAAACATCTTGCCGTGGAAAAAGTGCATGCGCTCAGTATGGAAAAGAAGATCATGACAGTACTGAGTGTACAACTACTCCATGTTGCATCAACTGCAAAGACGCCCATCCTGCCTACTCTCGGAAATGCCCTGCATGGCAGAGAGAGAAAGAGATTCAGCGGGTAAAAACTGTAAACAATTTATCTTACCCAGAGGCTCGGCGTTTGGTTACTTCAAGTGCTCCTTTGAAAGAAAAGACATTTGCGGCTGCTGTGAAGTCTACAAAGACACTTGGGGTTCAAACTGATATTTCTGTTTCCCCAAAGGAATCTGTTACTCGCCATGCAAAATGTTTAATACTCCCATCACAAAAAACACCAGAAAAGGAGAATACAAGAGTTAAAACACCCCTACCTAAAACAGGGGTAGTAACGAGAAACCTGGGTTCTAAAAAGGCTAGCAAGAACCCACTAAACAAACAGAGTGAAAGCAGCTCTCTCTAAATGTAAAAAATCAGAAGCTCACTCTATGAGTGAGTTTTCTGATATCTCTGACGAAGAGACTAATATGCAGGTGACAAAACCAACGTCACCCCCAAAAGAAAAACCCCCTGTCAAATTAAAGAGGGATACCCTTGCTGAAAATATTGCCTCAAACATATAATGGATTATAAAATAACCCAATGGAACTGTCGTGGTTTCCGCAACAACTTCTCTGACGTTAAACACTTGACATCACTAAATTCCCACACTCGAGAAGGATATAACAGCCATATACCCCATCATTGGGGCAGACATCTCCAGGAAGAAGCCATATAGATTGTGGCTCTCTCCTCCATATGCCAAGCGGACTTCACCATAGAACAGGTGACCACTAGCTCCCACCATACTTCAGTCCCTAAGGATTATCTTTAACTTTGTGAATTGTGCAAGTGTCGCCCAAATGCTTCCCCAGGCCTCCCTGGATAATTTACCACTTAGACTATGGCCACAACTGTATGGAGGTATGATGATTGATAATTAACCGATTTATGTGCACTCTCTCTTGGTCATCTTAGATATTAAACTAGAGTGCATATATAGCCCATAAAGATAATCCCATAGATATATATATATATATGATTCAATATGTGCTTGTCTGTGCATATAACTGTAATTGTAGCTGATTATTGTTTCATATGCTTTATTTGTATATTAAATTTATTTGTTTAGTTAATTGGGTGTTGACTTCAATTATTCGAAACAGACATTCTTTTGACTTACCCACAACACTCCCCACTCAATAAAATAGCCCTTTTATTTAAAGCCATCCAGTGACGCAGTGAGCGGCTGTTACCAGTCTGATGCCGATCAAATGGTTTAGAGCTTTTACCCTCTAACCCCAGCTTCTCACATATCCTGTTTGGAATGTTTTTCCATTTTTGAATATGTTCTTCCTTGTTCTATCTGTGGAATGGCCTTTTTACCTGAGAAAGGCCTATTAATGCTGCCAAAAACATTTTGTAATTTCCATTAAGTGCTATCTACAGGAGTAAGTATATACAGTATTAGTGTCAATTGTCAACTGTGCCAACTTATTGATAATTTATTATACTTATCAATAAATTTATTATTTGGTATACTAATAAATTATTTTGTACAATTTATTAGAAGTAATCATAAGTGGTGAATTC